ATTGATGAGCGAGATTTTCCAAATCATATATTATTAAAAAAAACAGCACTACGTGAAGAGTGTTTATGAAAGTTGTTGAAAATATTAAGGTAGTCCTCACGTTATAGTGAAAAAGTCACCCCAATAACAATCCCAACAATCCATATTCTCTTCATCACCCTTCCTCAATTAATTTATTAAAGCAATATTACTAGTTTTTATAACGAGTGAAGAGCGTTAAGGGATGGGAGCCAAACAATCATCATCCATTCTTCCTATCTCTACCTCAATGATTGCCGTAGAAAAATCAACAAACCAAACAAGAAAGAAAGCAACACCGATGACTCACCAAGATCCTCATCAACATCATAAGAAGTATCAATCCTCAACAACATCTCAATCAAATCCTCATCATGAACAACAATTTGTTTCCAAATTAACCAGCTCTCCCAATAGAAACTCACAACAAGTGATTGATAGCTTTAATTCCATTCCAACTCATCTCTCCTCCAGCTCTCGCAGTGAAGACGTCTATTGTAATTCGAGTAATTGCTCCACCTTAATGGAAGAAGATGAAATTCAGAGTTGCAATTCAGTCAATTCCTCATTGACCAGTTCTCTAGATGAAAGTTGTGTCAGTTCAAGTGTTTGCACAAATGATGTGATTAGCATTTCAGCAAACTTTCTCAAATATCGACCACAATCCAACCTGCATCATTCTCACCAATCCAATTCTCGTCCTTCCCAATACAAGAAAACTCACGAAACTAATCAATCCTACCCAGTCATTCTCCCTTCCCATGAAACCTCAAAGAAACAAGCTTTTGAAAACAACACCTCTTCCTTCCCTCATAAATCCTTTGATCATCATGCTCAATTGAGAAGAATTCAATCAGAGAGATGTGATCCCTTATTAAATCCTCACGAGAATACCCTGCCAGAATCTGCTCAATATTCCTTCATCTCTCTCCAACAACAACAATAAGAACAACAATTCCTCTTTGATACACGAAGATTTAAATCCAATAAGATACACTGTCAATGTCATCATGAAAAATTCGAATGCAATAACAACAATGTTACTATTGATTCATTAGCATCAAATTGTGAAACAGGAAGAAAGACACACTCTCCGAATAGAACTCCTTCTCATCAAAGATGTCATATGGAAGAGGAGGAGGGATTGATGAGAATGAATTCTAACATGTCATTGTGTCCCCCTTCACAGGGAGATGCCTTTGCTTCATATGTGGTTGTTGGAAACATGTTAAATTCCTACCAAAGTACAAAGCATCTAAAATAATTGAAGATAATGATGATGAACAAAATCCAATCCAGAAAGAAGGTGCAATTGCTGCAGCTCATAATAAATCATGCTTTATCGGCTTCATAGTAACATCTGATATTTAGTGGAAACTATTTAGAAATTGTTAAATTATTATTGAAATTGGAGAACAAAAAAAATACTAATGTCAAGCACTAAGCAACAAACAATTGTATCTCTCCTTATTGATGGTGAAGTGAGGGAAATTCCTATTGTATCCATACATAATGAAATTCCCAACCATTTTACTCTATCAATTTACGTTCCTTCCGGAAAACAAGTGAAAAGAACTATAAGGGGCTTTGCTATACAGTCCGTAGTTTATGGAGAAGTGAATAGAATAGATTGTGTACCATCTTTGAAAAACAATCAGGCAAAAACCTCTGTTCAGGTTCACGTGTTTTCAAGATGCATAACCAGATTGAAAAAGTTTATGGAACTAATGTATAATAGTTGGATTTCAGAGTATGCTATTGATTTCGTAGGAAGAAATTCCTCCACATATGAGCATCACAAATTTTCCATAACGAAAGGTAATTCTAAAAACAACAAGTTTTCAAGTGAGGAAAATACAGCACCTCCCACAAATACTACTACTAAAACAAAGACTAACAAAGATAAAACTTGGACTGATGTGTTTAATTATATCAGTACTTGTGCAGAGGTTGAAAATCTGATATCAGATGTAGAAAGCTCTTCCACAGAAGGTTTATCAGATGAAAGCAAAGATTACAAACAGATATGTAGGAGAGAGAAGGAGATTTTACAATTCAAAAGAACACCTGTTACACTAAAGAGGAAGAAAGGAACTTTGCAGGTAAAACAACTTGAATTAAACAAGCAAGATTGTTGCTCTTGGACACTGGATGCCATTGAAGAAATATTAATCACTTCAACAGGAGAAGGCGGTATTGGATTAGATGAAAAAAGAGCGAAAGAGGTTGTTAACAATATCAATGGCTTTGACCTTGAAGTTGTTGTAAAAGCTTTGCTTGGATTTAAAGGAGAGAATGAAGAAAGGATTGTATATGCCAGTCAAAAACTGTCAGAGCTAAAGCAAGTGGTTGCAGAGGNG